AGAGAGGATCAGGTTTTTATTTCAGGTTTCCAAGCAGTCGATTTTAATTCAGTCTACAGTGAATGTTTTCCTGTCTTCTTGCACATCTATTTCAGTGTCAAAGTTGGGAAGAAATGGAACAGTGATAATGAAAATTAGAAGTGTGAGTGTGGGTGAAATGGTGACCAGTGTTCCTCCTACTGTGGAGGCATTAAAACTAAGGAAAAAAAATAAGTGGGGGAGGGAAAAAATAAGCATTGTGTTAGTGGATAGCTCAGCAAATACCATTTATATAATGCATTTGTATCTACCAACAGCATGGAGGTGGACAAAATAATTGGGAACGGGGAGGTTTGCCTCTACAATCTGAAGGCAAAAATGAGCACTGTTCAACATTAAATGGACCAGCCTGTGGTCCTGGTGATTGGCACATGCTGTGGGATGTACTGCTGGGCTGGGGAGGAAGGAGGAGCTATGGATTGTGCTGCCTAAAGGGGGAATAATAGCAGGTAAAGTGAAAGGGAATCGTTGGTACAGTTTGGCAGCAGGGACTGCGTGTCTGAAGTAAACAAGAGAATGAGTTTAAACAGTTATTCCTGTTGTTTCTTGTAGCAAATGTCTTTAAAATAAAATAAATGAGTATACTTGTCCAGTACTATAGGTAATCTGCCATGGGTGGGGGTGCTTACAGGAAGAATTAATTGGTAACACAAAAAAAGCTGTGGTATCGTGTTCAGTGTCAGGGACACAGTGAATTGAAATTTAAAACCACTGAGAGCCTTCTGGCAGAAGAAGGGCTTTCACAGGGGAACTTTGGTAAAGCTTCCTGTGGAAACTGGGCACCATAATTTCCCTTGTCTTCTGCCTCGCCTTGCTGGGCACAGCTGCCTCCTCTTCAGCAGGCAGGAGGAGGGGAGGTGCCACCACCCTGCAGCCAAGGAGCTTCATGTTCTGGTGAATTAGCCTGAACCCTGCATGAACAAGTAGCTGGTAACACCAAAACCACATTGTAAGTAGGAGTCAAGATCCTGAGTCCTGGTCAGGGTGTCACCAGAAGGGGCTGTCACCTTCTGGGGTTGGTGTGGTTTTATGGTGAGTAGGGGCTGTGACTCAAACAGCATAAGGCAGAGCAGGTCTTCAAGCTCTAGGTATAAAGAGTTGTTCAGCTTTACATCTTGAATCTAAATTTAAGCTAGAGAAGTACTTGGGTTTGTGATGTGTGTTGCATTATAATTTTTCATTCAAGGTACTGTAGGTAATTTTTCAATGGGTTCTAATTTTGGCTAAAACTCGATCATGTCTTGAGCTGATTTTAGGAGGCCTGGAGGGAGTTGCTGATACATTTTGCCTGGGAGGGATGTAGGAAGGTGGAGCTGTGGGCATTCCCTTCTCTCTGGATCTCCAAAATGCAAAGCAGGCGTTGGGAAATGCCCTCATCCAATTTCTGGACTCTGCAGTTGCACAAGTCCATGCTCCAAGGGGTGCCTGGGCCTGGTTAGAGCAGGGGTGGAGTGCTCTAGAAGAGGTGGTGGAAGGTTATGTTGGACCTGACAGTTCAGAAACAGTGCTGGATGTATTTAAGCAATGTAGTGTAGGTAAATAGCAGTCAGCTAAAGTAAACATTGGAGTAAGTTGTGTGGAAAAGCACCTTCTCTCTGTGAAACTGAAGAAGCTTTAGTAGGTGGGAGGAGAGAGATCCGGGTGGGGTGGTGAAGCACTTAAATTGGGATGGGAAGGTCACAGTTCATTCTTCTTCTGCTGTCTTCTCTTTGGACAAGTTCCACGAATAAAGTATCACTTGTTCTGGGGTGGGAAGGAGTGTGTGTCTCGGGGGAGGTGGGGAGGTCTGTTTTGTCTTATCTGTGTCATGCTTTTCTATAGCATGACTCACTGATAATGCAGCATGTCTGCTACAGCAGTAGAAACCTATATGGTTTCTTCTCCTATGGAAATGGAGCAGGTGAAGATTGGCTTTCACTTCTGCAGGGAAACACTGTGCCCTGGTTTTGGAGATACTTGTGCTCTTGCTTTTCTTATTGTGGCTGTAATGTAGAGGTGTTCCTCCTTCACTGATGTTTGACACTGTTTTTGACTCTTTCTAGAAGTACTGAACCTGGTAGCTGACTAAGGCATCCTTTGAAAAGTGAGACTATGCCCATAAACAGTGAGGGGGGAAAAAAATGTTAGTAATTCTGACTTATGTGGGCATAATGCTGTTAAACAGTAGAAAGTAAGGACTTTCAGGATATCTTAGAGTAGAATTTACACAACTGTCACAAGTATAATGTTTTGCGTTGTAATTTTTTTAAAGAATTAGTTAATTTATTATAACAAGGGCTCAAAACATGAGCAACCCCATCTGCAGTTCATCTAGAATGACACAGCTTGAATGCACAACGATACTGTCTTTTTAATAAGTGGCTTTATGAATTTCCTTTATTTAGATTTCATCTTTAGAATCCCATGTTCTTCTGCAACTTGTGTTTTCTGAAGCCTCAAAATCAGCACGGGTTCTGCTGTACTTTCCTTTCCCCATGGAGAGGGCTCATTTTCTTCCTGGTCATATAAATGCCTGAAAAGTGTCCTCTCTACCATAGTCCTTTGAAACCTCTGCTTTATAAGGACACAGAAGATGCAGCTATTTTAAGGTTCCTTGATGGCACAGTGATCTGAAATTCCTAGGACTTACTGCTTCAATCTAAAAAGCTGAGGGGCTGGGCTGGTTCTTGGAAATGATTCAAATGCCCCTTTGAGCATCAGTTGCCTAGAACTGGGTTTGATCCTATGTCTGTGGTTCCTTTGAGGGACCCTAAATCTCCAGGTGTCTGTCCTGTGTTCTATTTAATGCAGAAACTGATGACAGCATTTAACTTGGGAGTTGCTTTTTGATTTATTTGGCCTTTTGTTTTATTGGGCAGAATTCGTTGTGGGTGAAAGACTGAAGAATCCAATGTAATTTTAATGATCTTGGTAATTTGATGTTAATTTGCTGACATGTTTTGTGTACACAGTGAGGAGCTAGGAGAATTCATGGAGGTGAAAGGTGCCAACAGCCCTGGGATCCTTGTGCTGACCACGGGCCTCAGCAAACCTTTTATGCGTCTGGATAAATACCCCACGTTACTCAAAGAGCTTGAAAGGCACATGGAGGTATATCTTATCAGCATTTATGTTCCAGCTTAATGATGATTTGACAACAATTATTTTAAAAGGTACATGTCCAAGATGATGGGAGCCAAAATTACATTTCCTTGCTCTTCTGTCAGCCTTCTAAAACATGGGCTGCAGTGGTTTAAAACTTAGTGCAGTAGAACGTCCTGTAAAAGCTAAACATTTAAAATAAAACTAGCCAGAGAAGTTAATATTCACTCCTAGAACACTCTTGCAGGGTCTTTGCTTAATTTGACATCAAATGACTCCTGCATAATACTTGAGGCTACTTTATGTTGTAGGAGTGCTGCTTCTCATCTTAGCACTCCAGTGGGGTGAACGTGTCACCAAAATAGTCCCTTTGTCTTCAGCTGAATGCTGTCAAAAGTGATCTTTGCAGCATGGGAGGTGTTTGAGGAGATATTTTGAATTTTGTAGGTTAGGTTTTGGGTCTGTGAAAGGAGAGAACTAGAAAGCATATGGGTCTTTGTCTCCTCACACAGTTTGGTTTGCCAGTGACAAGGGAACATACTCGTCTGTAAGGAAATGAGTTTGTGATGAAGTTAATGTAAAAAAAACCCCCTCTAAAATAAGCACTTCGTATCAGAATTTCAAAATCTCTTATCAGCTAGGTCTTGGAAAAACTTCTTTGGCTCTAAGTATAAATGGGAAAGTTAGAACTGATTTTTACTACAAGCAAGACCACCAATGTTTGATATAAGCATAAGAAGGCTGTGAAAAGAGAGCAGATCAGTCTACACCTTCTATTTTACAGAATTATTTTTTTCTTTAGTTAAGCCTCACTTTTTTAAAATTAATTTTACTAGAACTAAAGTTTCTATGTCTGTTTTCTCCATTGTTTTTAGGATTATCATCCGGATCGTCCAGATATCCAAAAATCCATGACTGCCTTCAAAAATCTTTCAGTAAGAGTGATAAAAAATAGATTATATATGTGAAATAGAATGTTCTCTAATTTCATCCCCCTTTATTGCTTTTTAAAGAGTGAAACTTTTTGTATAAATGTTTGTGTAAGAAGTTTTTGAAAGCTTGGAAGCTGATGCTGTTTGTGGGTGGAGCTAAGGATGGTAATTTGCAGCATAGTTAGAGACTATTGATGGAAGGGCCACACAAAGCATAAAATAGATAACATTCTATTTCACATATATAATTTCATCCCCCTTTATTGCTTTTTAAAGAGTGAAACTTTTTGTATAAATGTTTGTGTAAGAAGTTTTTGAAAGCTTGGAAGCTGATGCTGTTTGTGGGTGGAGCTAAGGATGGTAATTTGCAGCATAGTTAGAGACTATTGATGGAAGGGCCACACAAAGCATTTTATTACAATAAAAATGTTTTGTGCTTCCTTTTAGGAGTGTGTGCTTCTGGTAACCTGGAATTTTCTATTTTTCTGCAAAGCAGAAATCTTGTGTTACCTCTTTTAGGAAGAGATTTGGGGATCCCATTCTGTTGGGTGCCTTACAAACAAAAGGAACTCATTCTTGTTGAGAATTTCAAATGAATGGGAGGACAACTAGTAGAGGAGGTTGGAGATGCAAGGTTATAGACACCAATAGTTTGCATGACTATGAATTTGGAATGGTGATTGAAGTTTGGCCTATTGAAAGGAAAAGTAATAGCACTGAAGTTAGGAGAAACAATTTTAGAAGAAATATTGGCAATAGTGACCAGAATGAAAACACTTCAAGTAAAGTGCTGTCTTGTCTACTACAAGCACAACAGTAAATACAACTGTAGTGATACTTTTATCCTTAAACTGCTAAAAATGGCTAGAGTTGATAGAGAAGGTGTTTTTCCCCATGTTTGTTAGGCACAATGTCAAGAAGTAAGGAAGAGGAAAGAACTTGAACTACAAATCCTGACAGAAGCAATCCGTTGTTGGGAGGGAGAGGATATTAAAACCCTTGGCAATGTGATTTACATGTCCCAGGTGATGATTCAGTGTGCTGGAAGTGAGGTAATGTACTTCTCCTCTTTACTGTTGGTCTTTCATTCAGTTTTGAATAAAACTAATTATAATTATGCAGCAGAAATAACCAGAATGCGTCAGAGTTACTAATCTAGACTAAAATCTTTCTTTATTGATTTCAGGCTTTTATTACAATACCTGAAATAAATTTGCTTGAAGGTGGATGGTCTCCTCTGTAAAATTTACTGAAATGTAACAGAAAATAGCAGTTATAAACACTGGAAGATGGTTTTGGACTGTTTTCAAAGTGCATAATTGAGCAGGTTTTGCCATGCGTAGTTATCGTTTTGCATAGCAGTTATTGTGGCCTTTTTTTAAATACCAAAAACTTGCCAGTTTTGTATTGTAAGGTGTTTCAGGCACATTTTTTTTCATTGCTGTTTTGGGCACTTTGCTCAAGTAGTAAATTTTGAAATACAAGCTTGAGAACCAGCTGGTTTGAGGGAAATAGAGTAAGAAGAGTTGAATGTGACACTGGAATGTCAGGATTGATTTAAAAAAGAAAACAAGATAGACAATACACAAAGAAGAGATTGTCCTACCAGAAATAATGTAGAAATAATCTTAAAAGCAAGTGCTAACAGAAAGGAAATGTTATACAGGTTACTGACATGGTTTTACTCAGCTGGTTCCCTGTCAAGTCAGTGAAGCTTTGAATGTGGTGGGGGCTTTTGAACTCCAACCTCATTCAGTCCCTTTCCTCCCCTAGAACAAAGTACTTTTATCTTTCTTTATATGACTGAATATTTAGCAATCCATCACCTGATATTTTTCTTTCAGATATATTGTTTTGCAAAGATGTTAGAAATTGAGATGGTTGCTTTGTCAAGGGATATATTTGGTTTATTGTTAAAATTTAAACATTATGCCTTAATGCTTCATTGTTTGTAGCATTAGATGAAGAGTGCACCTTATCTTCCTTCCATAAAAAGTACCCCCAAAACAAAACTACAAAGTTCAACTTCAGAAATGAAACCAGCAAATTATAGACAGAAAAAAGAGTGGTTTTGTCACAAATAAAAGCATTACAACTTCAAAAATGAAACCAGCAAATTATAGACAGAGAAAAAATGAGTGGTTTTGTCACAAATAAAAGCATTACTACTTCTACTTTATATTCTTTTTCTACTCTGGGGCATAAATCAACATCATTCAAAAATCTGATTTCTCCTATTTGAGAATCCATTGGTCTTGACATTACTGTAACAGCACCCATCTAAATGACATTAATAAATATATCCAGTGTGTAATTTTGGTTTTGCTGAAATGGTGGAACAGTTGTTATCATATTAAACAAGGTCAGTATTTCACTGTAAAATTTGTTTTAAAATATTCGACTGTACTCTCAAACAGAAAATACTTTTCAAACAATAAATCAATATTTTTATTTCTATGGAGAATCACTTTTGCAGGAAGCAAAGATTTGTGGAGTAATTATGGGCTTGTAACATTGATGATAGTTTTAATGATATGGAACAGAAAAAGGGGGGAGGGGGCTTGTGATGTTGTATTTACTTTTTCATTTTCTTTTTTTGATAAGGAAAAGAATGAAAGGTATCTTCTTCTCTTCCCTAACATTTTGCTAATGTTGTCTGCCAGCCCAAGAATGAGTGGGTTTATCTATCAGGTAAAGTAATACATGTATATTAATGTTAATTTCTCCAATAAGAGTTGATTATCTGTTATAAAACTCTGATCTAGAAGCCCAGGATTTGATTCTTGCTGCTGTGACTACTATCAGAGATGGTTTTTTTTACCTGAGTAGTAGCTAATGAGAAGAAATATTGCTGGCTTTATGGATCTACCTAGGAAAACAGTTTTGTTGTACAGGTTTGTGCTCTTTGAGTGCTGATCAAGCCTTACACAGCACTCACTTTCCTTCATGTGACCCCTGAGAGGTGAGCTTAAAGCAAATGCACAGCCCATAACTTCCTGAAATCTTCATAAATGCTCTTCCAAGTGTTGCTACGTGGTTTCCAAACATCACAGTAAATCAAAAGCAAGGGAAAAACTGCAACAAAGTTCTAAAAGTTCTAGAAGGATTTCACCTGCTCTAAGTACTGCTGTAAGTCAGGCTCTTGTGATTTCCCTGCCAGGAGGGGATGCTGAACCCTGCCCATCTGGGGTTCTTACGTGACCCAGCACAGCCAGACACAAACTTTGGGACTTTTTAACTTTTAATGAAGAGCAATTACATTCCAAAATTAATGTTTGGCTTCATATCTCGTTGCAGTAGGTGGTTGAAGTGGACAGGCAGGTTTCTGTTAGCATTGTGCCACTCTTAAGAGGTTTTGGCCAGGGCTTTATCTCAACATTGGTGGAAAAAGAACAGACAAGGCAGGTGAGCTCTGTATTTCAAGTGGCACATCTAGAATTTCTGATGAAGGTAGAATCCTGTGCAGTGGTTACAAAGGCAACTGACTGGAAATTCAGTGTGTTGAAAGAAAAACTATGAAATTAAACAATCTGGCAAGCTTTATTTTGCTTTCCTATTGTCCACCACTGATGCTGCTTCTGTGTGTTTTGCTGACTTTGTACTTTGGCTTGAGCTCAGGCTCTTGGACTTGAGCATGCTCTCTGCTTACAGAATGTCAAGTGATTTTTAGTTTCCAAGCTTCTAAGAAATCTTTGTCCATTCTACAGTCATTAGGAAAGAAAAAAAAATAGGAGTTGGTTATTTCTTTTCCTCCCATTGGGGCAGAAATTCCACAGCACATAGTATTTGCACTTTTGCCAGCCTGTGCTGAATAGTGTTTCTGTGCAGGAAAATACAGGATCTGTCTTAAAGAACTTTAATAAAAGTTGCATTTTTGGTAAAGCCTTTCATCCTGTCAATATTCAGTCTTATTTATTCCCCTGTGTTTCTATCTTATTTATTCTTTTGTTTCTAGAAGGTTATAAAGTTACCCAAAGCTGACTTGTTGTTTCCAACTTGACTGGGTTTAAAGTGAGAGGTTATCTGCAAAATTAATGCTTTCTTCTCAAAGTTCACAAATTTAAAGGTGTTTTTAGTGCTTTTGGGTTTTTTCCCCCCAAATATCTCAGGAAGTGAACTTAGTAATGGGATTATTAGAGACATAAATCTTCAATTACTGTATTTTTCAAAGTGAAATCTTCCTCTCTAAACCTCCTTGTACCACAGACATTATTTTGAGAGATGGTCAAGCAGTTTGCAAACAAATGTGCCTACAGATGAGTCTAATTGCCTCTACAGATTGCCTCTAATAATGTAATAGGGATTTAAACCCATCAGCCTCTGTGTGTGTTTGTCAGTTTACTGTATATGTATTTTTTAGAGCTTGAAGTTTATATATTCTTTCCTTGGTAATGTTTTTGTGAGTTTGGTTTTAACTCCAGTGTCACTGTTTTTTTTAGGGAAAACTGCCAATGACAGGAATGACTATCACAAAGCTAGAAGACACTGAAAACCATAAAAATTCATTTGAAATATCAGGTATTGACTAATTCTTTAGGTACTACTTACTCCAGGATATGCTATTTCAAATGTCAAATGTTCTGTCTGAGCAGAGGGAAGAAGTGTTTCATTGTGAGGGTGACCAAGCACTGGCATTTAAGTAATTTTGACCCTCCCAAGCAGCAGGCAGCATCACACATCAGTGCTGTGAGGCAGAAGGGAGAAAGCTGTTGATGGTGCATGTTCTTCAGGGGTAGTATCTATGAAGACCAACTTTATCCCTTTTTATGACAGCAGATAGGTGAAATATATTGTGTAACTTCTGTATTGTAGCTTAGAGACTCAAGAATGACATTTTAGTTTATAGGGTGGCTTTCCTGGAGAAGATGAAGCATAAAGCTACTAGATGAGCCTCTCTCCTCCATCTATTTCTTGTCATTAAAGGTTGTGTTTAGTTATTAGAAGTAGGGGAAAAAATAGAACTCCTCTACTTGACACAACAATAAATACCTTGCAGAAATGTCTGTTACAGTCTGGAAAAATGAGATGCTGCTGTACTGAAAGTACAGGTTAAAATTTTTACTTAATACTTAGGGGATATAATATTTTAGGGAACTAATGTCTTTATAATCATGCCATATTGACTAAGTTGTTCTTCTGTGGTTTCCTACATCTTTCTCTTTTCTTTCACCTAGGAAACATGATTGAGAGGATACTAGTGTCTTGCAATAACCAACAAGATTTGCATGAGTGGGTGGATCACCTGCAGAAGCAAACCAAAGTCACAACTGTTGGGAATCCCACCATTAAACCTCACTCTGTGCCATCTCACACGGTAGGAAAGAGCTTCTGGATGGAGGTGAATGAGCAGTGTGTGCAGAATTAGGTTATTTGGCAAATATGTGAACTTTTATTACTATGTAAAGGATTTTATTAGCTGTTAGTAACAAGAACTGAATGTTGCTGCTGTAGTTTAATGGGTCAAAAGAGGATTCTGGTTTTGTGTGAAGAAGGAATAAAATGCTTAGATCTCTTAACAGTCTTAACAATAAAAGAATATTAATTATCATTGCTGCTTCTATTTTGACCAAGCAATACCTCACCATCTTTTAAGTATCCTTAAAACAGTAGGCTTTAATTGGTGATGGACTTGAAAGGCTGTGGAGAAACAATTGCCTTCAGTACTTTCTTTTGGGCTCTGCATTTGAGTTGTTGGGTAGGAATGGATGTCAATTCAGCTCCATCCTTAGTGGTGAGAGAGGTGAGAGCTTGTAGCTCTTTTCTTTAGTGTGTTCTCTGTCTGTAGAGGACAACAGATTTCTTTGAGCTCCATTTTCCCAAATAATAATTCCATGTAAAACTTTCAAAGGCCAACTGTAGTAAACAAAAGCACTAGACAAGAAGTGGGATTATTTCACCAATCCTCAATGATATTATGTCTTTATTACAATGCACTTTCTTTCCCTTCCCATCACTGTGTCTTTGACAGCTTCCTTCCCATCCAGTAACCCCCTCCAGCAAGCACTCTGACAGCAAGCCGATCCCGCTGACTCCTGCCTACCACACCCTCCCTCATCCCTCCCACCATGGAACTCCACACACCACAATAAACTGGGGACCTCTGGAGCCTCCCAAAACTCCCAAGCCTTGGAGCCTGAGCTGCTTACGGCCTGCACCTCCCCTACGGCCTTCAGCAGCTCTTTGTTACAAAGAGGTGAGATGGGGCAGCCCAGACACAGGACTCTAGCAGGCCTACAGTGGAAATTTAACTTATTTTTGGTTTGACACACTTCTATTTTACCATTTTGTGCATTTTTTTATATAAAGATGATTTAACAGCCCATGTGGAATCAGTGGTAATGGAGCAGTGAATGTTTTTTGTTTCAAACAGATTTAGTCTTGCAGCTCAGAAAATACCAAGATTTGTGAAAAGAGGCTTCTGCTGCCTCCCCAGAGTGCTCCCACTTATTTCCACTCTTTATGCAGTGAACAAATAGGAATATTTTCTTTTTTATTACCTTTTTTTTTATGTTGATCCTCCAGGCTTATTGCAAAGTAAGTTATTTGCTAAGCCCATTGGAAAGCTTGTGGAGTAAGGGATCCTGTGGTGGTTCAAAGTGCTCTGTCCTGTTCTGAACAGTTGTGGTATAACTGACTCTTGGTTCCTCAGTATTGACCACTGCTACTAGGTAACATTAGCATGTGGGGTTCTTTAAAAAGGAATATATGTAGTCTTTTTGTACTCAAAAGCATCTGATGACTACTGTTGCTATTAACAAGAACAAAAAACCTTAGCATTTAAGGTGCTGTTGTATTTATTTAATTAGTATATGGTGTGAAACAGGAATTGGTTGAAGAGAAATAAAAAAGTGGTGGTTTTAACCACAAAAAGCTAGTGGCAGTAGATTGTTTTGTAAATTGTCAAGAAAATGTTAGATTTATGTTGGAAATCTGTGTGTATATAAGGAGGATGATGTTGGATGCTCTGTGGCTTGGTGCTATCTCCTGTTTCATTGTCTTTGTCCTGTGTTCTCCTGACAACAACTCTATTGTGCAGCATCAGGGCCCAAAAAGAATCATTCTGTTACCCTTAAGAACATTTTATTCTGCAAGTATGGCATGGTGACAGAAAAATTTTCTTTTGTGGACATTTAAACTGCCATTTCCTAGAAACTGCAGCCTAAACACTGTGCCCCCAGTGTGGCCTGGCTGTGTTATTTTGTGGTGGCTCTTTGTGTGTGTGTGTTACTTTTCATTTATCTCTTGTAAATCCCCTAAACAACAGGGCAAAAGTGATAGATAATCTGCAGTGGGAGGTTAGTATTTAGACTTAGTTGCTACAAGAGGTTCTTCTGTTTGGCTGTACTATATGTTTGTTTTGTAATTTAAGTTCTATTCTTTTCATGCTTTCATATATAGGGCACTAAATGCTCCAGTGTGGTAAAATTTCAGTCATCTTTGCAGTGTTTAGCCTACAATAATGTTCAAAACCTGCCTTCATCTTCTTTGGGCTGTCCTGCTCATTCATCTTTTTACTTTCTTCTTCTGTATTTTTTTTAGAGGATGTCTTGTATCCTTAAGGTAAGGGGTAGACCAGAATATTCCTTTTGTTCCTGTAACCTAGCACTGTTCCTGTAAATCAGCATGACCAGATTTTGAGCAGAAATCCTCTATTATTTCTTGTGGGTTTTTTTTTGGTTGGTGTTTTGTTTTGTATTTCTTTTTTCTTCTGTAGAGCTTTGTAAGAACAGACCTAAAGATTTACAAATCCTTGCTTTGAGGAGTATACTACTTACCAGGCTTCCTTCTTCGATCCTTTTTTACCTGCTTCTGAGTAGCCAAGTGAAATGGGTCATCTCTCTAAAAATTAGGGAAAAAAACCCTTTTGTTAACATATCCCTGCCTCTTCCCTTCACTCTAGCTCCCAAACAGCCTGCTCCTCTATTTGTTGTGGGTTTTTTTTGGCTGGTGTTTTGTTTTCTTTTTTTTTCTTCTGTAGAACTTTGTAAGAACAGACCTAAAGATTTACAAATCCTTGCTTTGAGGAGTACACTACTTACCAGGCTTCCTTCTTAGATCCTTTTTTATCTGCTTCTGAGTAGCCAAGTGAAATGGGTCATCTCTTTAAAAATTAGGGAAAAAAACCCTTTTGTTAACATATCCCTGCCTCTTCCCTTCACTCTAGCTCCCAAACAGCCTGCATGCTTTTGCAGCAGCTTTTCTGTGTATTTCTGCTAGCAGGACAGATAAAATATTTGCCTTTGTGTATAGTTGGAGGAAGGGTAGAGAGGAAATCTGCCAGTTCAGGCAAATCAAACATGCCAAAAAATACTCGTAAACTGAATTTTGGTGCTGTTACAAGATTTTTTAGTTAGTAACTCCTCTATGCATCTTAGAAGTTAAACTTTTTAAATACTGTAGAGAAGCTCTACTCTTTTTATTTTTCTCCCCCCCACACAGGATCTCAGCAAAAGCCCTAAAACCATGAAAAAGCTGCTTCCCAAACGCAAGCCGGAACGGAAGCCGTCAGATGAAGAGTTTGCACTGAGAAAAAGTAAGGAACTTGAAGGAATGTCTTCATGATACAAAGGCCAGAATTAACTTCCTTTTATATTCTATGGAATCTAACTGTATGGTGTAAGCAAGACTTGAATTTGCATGCAGACATTTCAGTTCAGGATGATTTATCCTTACAGGAAGGTATCTGTTTAGGGGAAAAAAAAGTACTGCAATTACAGTGTCCTTTCAGATGTTGCAGGATGGGGATTCAGTGGTTGGAATGCCAGCAGTGAAGCTGTTAACTTGCAGATTTAGGAATGATTAAAGAACACTTAGTGAGAAGAGATAAGATTTTTCCCTAGAAGCTTCTGTTACCTGTTAGAGCTCCTTCAACCTTTTCCAGACAGTGGAACTGTAAAAATTTTTCACTGAGGAACTTCTATCAAACTTAAAGCTGATTGATGGACAGGTTTGGGTTTTACTGCTTATCTTCTCTGGAATCCCAGTGGTTTATGGGCTGTGTCTTGAGAACTCCTGTGTCAAATCAGCATTGTAACAGACAAAGCAGAATAAGGTATTGCAGCTGAGTGCCCTCACAATACTCATTTCAGAAGTGAAATATTTGTCCTGCTACTGTAATAATATGGTGCTGCATTCTAACCAGAAGAGAATCCACTTATTTTTCCTGCCTTGAAAGAGAAATAATCTGTACTTTGCAGTACCTGCATGTCTTAAACTGTAGGGAAGCTATATTGGGTCAAGGTAATTTCTGCAACCATTACTTGTCAGCTGATCCTGACAGATGTTTGGACAGTTGACTTTTCTTCTGGTGATGATAAATCACAAAAACATAGCAGGATACATTGTCTGGTAGAGAATACTACTGAAGGCAGTTCAGACTCATGCAGCAAAAAATCCTTAAGCTAGTTTTCTCAAGGAGGAAAAGAGAAAAAGTGCTCTTAAAAGAAGAAATTGTGCCCTGCACAGACTCCTTGTTCCACCTGAGCTGATGGTGTGTCTAGATGGCAGTTGGGCTGGAATTTCACTGCTGCAAGTGAACAATTTGGCAGTGTTTTCACTGAATTCCACAAGGAGATTTGCTGTGCAGCTCTACCTTTAGGAAAATCTTGCCATCTTATTTTGCCATCTTAAGCTTGAACAGTTAGATTTTTTTTAAAAAGTGCTGTTTCTACTTTAATGTCTGGGAAGTTGAATTACTCCAATTTTCACAGATAGAATTATGTGACAGTGACACCTTTTGTACTGCACACTGGACTGAAACAGTGCTGATGTGATTATTGTGCTGTTAATTGTGAGTTTAATGTTCAAGAGTGTGCTTTAGAAAAGGATAAATGTGATATATATACATACATATATATATATACAAACCCCAAAAGTTTTCAGGTTTTCTGTTAATTAATATTCTGTTCCTCAATTTCCTTGATTAAATAATGAAACAGTATGTATATAATAACTGGGCTGTACAGGTTTTTCAGTGTAATGGCTGTTTGGTTTAGAACCAGAGTGTTCACACCTCATGTTTTGTGCAATTTCAGATGCACAGAATATTTCTTGAATGTGTGGGTAGTTACTCTGACTTGCTTTTTTTTTTTTCCCAAGCATTTCAAAATAATATTTTGTCTTTTGAAGCTGTTGCTTTTGCTCACTGAAGCTTGATTTTTTTAAAATTGGGATGATTAAGAGAATTTTAAAGAGGTGATCAGGCTGAACTTTGGACTCAACTGGAACTCAGAGATTTACAAAGGCCTTTTTGTATTAAGAAGCATAACCATAAAATTCTATTTTTTCCCATTGATTCCAGGTACAGCTGCTTTAGAAGAAGATGCTCAAATTCTTAAAGTCATTGAAGCATATTGCACAAGTGCCAAAACACGTCAAACACTAAATTCAAGTAAGTTAGAAAGTACTGAAATGACTCACAAAAACACAAATTAGTTGGCAAAAAGAGAGGTTTATGTTCTCAGACCTTTTCAAGTATCAACCTAAACCCAGAAGAAATAATAACTTATTTCTGACTTAATATCAGTGCTGAGTGTCTTAAGTATTGGATGCCAAGGACCATAGTTAGAGACTGTAATTCTCTCAGTATTAAACCCCCCAACAAACAAGAAGTGACTAATTGTCATGGTTTGAAAGTGCACAAAACTTTCACTAATGAATGAGAGGTGTCTGGATATGAATCTTGACAGTTGATCAGTTTGGTTTTTTGAGAAATTTCAAGAAGCTGGTAAGTAGAGAGGGGGATTGAAGAAGCAGTCATAATTTTGGAGTGTATTTTGGTCTTGTTCTTTTCAACAAAGACTTCCTCTATGGAAAAGTAACACAGGCTTATAAAAATCTTATCTTTTATTGCTGCTAGTTGTTTTTAGTATTAATTACAAATTTTAATCCCATCTCATGATTTCAGGAGAGACCGTTCTCAGATCTGTGTGTTTCTTAAAGCCATTTTTAGCTTCTCAGATCAATACCTAGCTTATTGAAAACCTGTAACGTGCCTCTGGGGTCCTACTTCATTTAATCCAAATCAAGGTTGCCCTGTGGAGTTCCTCTGTGTTGTAAGTAAAACGTTGTGCAAAGCAGGGGAATCTACCAGCATGTGTTCCATGTACACCAGGAAGGAGAAAATGCTGTTGCTTTTGTTCCTCTTTGCACAGTTTCTGCACTGTTGAACACCAGTTTATTCCAGGGATTCTTGGAACACAGTAAAATGATCCTGAAGTACTGGGCTGGTTTTCCTGCTGTCAGGAGCTAGAAGAGTGGACGTTATAACTTACTCAGTGTCCACTAAAGCTCTTTAAATTGGAGCTGTTAATCACTGCTGCTGCTTCCAAGGGCTGAGAGCTCTGTGGCAAGAGCTGAAAAGTCTCAAAATGCAACTTAGTCCATGGATTTTCCTAAGACATGGCCACTTCCTATTCTACCTTGAAAAAATCCAGCCACTTTGTTATTCCTATGTAACTTAAAATGGGAATATGGCCCTTTTATTACACTGTAGAAACTTTTGAAGTAACAGCAAAAACCTTCATCTTAATTTTTCTGTCTCGACGAGCTGCAGGTCTCCAAGGTGGTAAAATCAGCTACTACAACATCATTTTTAATGAATATCCATCTATTTTGTAGCCCTACAGTCATTACTGTAGTGTGTTTAATTGGATAAAGAATGTCTTCAAAATTCTGCAGATATACTGTTGTTCCAAACAGACTGCAATGAGATGATTGCTGTTTAAACATCTCAGCCATAATCTGTTAATTATTTCCGAGGATAATGTGACAAGAAATGGTTGGGGAAACATTTGCACTTGCACAGTAGTGTGTGTGTGTGTGCAGATGAAAAATAGATACGATTTTTTTTTTGCTTTGTTTGCCTATTTTTTTTCCTTCCTATGTATATTTAAGAAATATACATAGTGCTGCAGGTATCATTGCATACATCAGAAGCCAGCAGCTTTTATTTGCTAACTGCAGCAGGAAACAATTTTATTGATAAAGCACACAGCTGCTTTGATGGGGAAGAGTAGTGTTGGCATCTAGGTTTCAGGAGATCCATTTGTAGACTTGAATTGGAAATGGGGAATGGAATAATCATGCTGGAATTGTTTCTGTGGGAGCCCTAGTCAATGCAGAAGAACAGAATGAAAGAGTTGCCTGTCATCTGTGAAGTACACCCTTCTTTTACATGCTCCTTTCCTATGTCCATGTTAATATTCTGCTTGTCCCTTGCAGCACTCATTTAGCCATTCTACCTGCCCCTTAGTCCAAAGCCCAAGAGATGCTGCTTTTGGCAGAGCTGTGACACCAGTGCAGACTGGCAGGGAGTGGCATTAGAGCAGAGCAAATTTCTTCATTCATTGGTTAGGTGGGGGACAAGTGGGAGTTTAATTTGGGGAGACAAAGTATTGAATTGGGAAGCCAGATACAGATAGAGGCCTGTAGGAAGAGGTGTGAGAGGATCTGGAAGGGACCAGACTGTTGCTTTTGGCCTCTTGGCCCTTTTTTTTTTCCTAGGAATTAATTTTCTACCTGGTTAAATAAACAGCAAGAGGTACAGGCACAGGCAAGCTGTACTGTGACAGTCGCTTGAGTGGCTGCAAGGTGTTGCTGCTGATGTAGAAGGTCAGCAGTCCTGCTCTGCATGAGAACCTTTGCTTTTCCCCCTGCATTCTCTTCACACAGCTCGTGGTGACACGAGCACGTCTGTGGCTGTGTTGTGAGCTGGTGGGGCAATGACCTGATGGAAAAAAAAAATGAAGAATCTTTTGTAGGGTTAGTTCTAATCTGAAACTGTTCCCTGAGCTGGCTCACCAAGCAGCTGTACAACTCACTGTGTCATTGCAAGGGAGGGAAAGGATGGAGGTACAGATGTGTGATGGGGAAGGAGCTGTGGCTTTTCACATCACTGCTGGATCATGCTGGCTTACTGTGTTTATTGCTCTGCCCCAGACAAATCCCCTCAGACTAGAACTGACTCTGTACTTCAAAAGAACCTAACTCCCTCTTCCAAAAAATCTGCTTTCAAACGAGATCTTGGTTATTGAAAATTCTCAACTACTGAGGCTGCCTAGAAGCTTAAAAAGCAATTAAAAAAAATTGTATTGTAACAGTTCAAACATTATTATTTGCTGATTGTAATTTATACCTAAACCCCAAACAAATTTAAAGAAAAAAAAGAAAAAAAAAAGAAAAACTTTGGTGCCTTTTTAACAATATTTTCTCTTTTCCTTCTCTTCCCATCACCTTTTTTTGCTTTTCTTTCATGTGTTTGGTTGTGGCTATTCCTTACGTTCTCCTCCTCATCCCACCTCTGCCTATCCACATCCCACCATTTCATTCCACCTGTCCATCCTTAGCATGGCAAGGCACTGACCTGATGCATAATCACGTCTTGGCTGATGATGACCAATCAAGTCTAGACTCCTTGGGTCGTCGCAGTAGCCTTTCTCGTTTGGAGCCTTCAGACCTCTCAGAAGACTCTGACTATGACAGTATATGGACAGCCCATAGTTACAGAATGGGGTCTACATCTCGTAAGAGCTGTTGCTCATATATCTCTCACCAGAACTAATGCACTTCTGAGCTTTTTTTTTTCTTAACAAATGCTTGTTGTATCACAGCCTGCTTTTCTTAGATGTTTTCTTGCTGTTCCTTGTCTCTTTAATGTGATATTTTAACAACTTCTGAGGGAGCTTCTGAAACTTCAGTTACACCCGGTGGAAGGCTCTATTGCCAATTCAATACACGTACAAACAAGTCATTCTAAAAAAAAAAAGAGTATATCCTGTTAAGGATGATATTTCTTGAGGTTTTTTTTTAACTGACAGTTGTTAATTTGTAGCTCTGAATGGTCGTCTTCTTATTTATTTATTTTTCCTTTGACTTGGTCAGTGTAGCAACAGGTCCTTTCTTTTCTGGGGTTTGGTTTGGTGTTGTTTTTTTTTTTTTTGCTTTGGCTACAGGTGACTTTTGTATTTTGTACTGAAACCATACTGGTTTGGGAGCCAAGTGATACAGAAATACCTTAGTGGTAGCAGCTGGATTTTCTACATATTACTATCCAAACACAAAGCTGATAGAACAAGAAAAAAGCAGCTTAAAACCAAGCAGTACAAGAGCTGGAAAACCATTCAGATAGTCACGTTTCGGGCCACTGATTCAGAAGAGCATTTGCTAATTAACAAAAAAAAAAGATGGTTTTGTACTGCTGCCTTTTCCTCATTGCTGAAAGGATTCTGGGAAGGACCACGCTGCTCTCCCTCCACCCCAGTCTGGCAGTTGTCCTGAAAACCCAACTGTCCATGCTCATGACATGATGTTTGGATAACCTCATGCTACCTGTGGTCATGCTGTCACTTTACTGTGTGCAGTGGTGTGGCAGAAAGCAGGGTCCAGATGTTCCCTTGCCTGTTAAAACACACAGCTGTCCCCTCTGTCCCATTCTTCTCACAAAGCTGAGAGGAAAGTGGTTCCCCTGATGGAGGCTGGAGAGTGTTGAGCATCTGAAACTCTAGGTACAACTGTGATCCCACTGGCTTGTTTGAAGTTCTGAATAATGGAATGCTTGGCTTGTGGGTTGTACTGTTTGGAGCGTGTCTGTGACAGATGTGTAACTTCTCTCACGAGCAGGGGTGTTTTCAGCAGCAGCTCCTCACTTCCAGTAGTGTTGGCTTGTTAGAGAAGTGTAAGACATGCTGTGCACAGCTGAAGGTCTCCAACCTGCACCTGGGGCACTGCTGGATGAAGTGTGTGTGTGTGTGTCCTGTCTTGTGGCATCCAAACAAAAATGACATCTTTTCTAAATCTCCATTAGCACTAGGGAAAAAGCATGTGATGAAAGGGCAGAACAGGTCTCCTTTTCAGCAGGGTCCCCAGACACAGTTCCCTTGGTCCTTTTCAAGTGAGCCTGTTACCCACTGTTCAGGTGTTGCTCCATGAACCAGCTCAGAATAATCATCATGCAATTAGCTGCTGCTACCCCATCACACTGTTCCAAAGAGAATGAATACTCTCCTGCAGGTTACATGATCAGAAAACTACTAATTACTAGACGTGCATGGTTCCAGAAGGTGGTCAGCATGGAGGAGCTATTTCCAAGCAGTTCCCATCTGCAGATTTGCATTCGGTCTTGTCTGCTCATCTGCTTTGTGCCCTCTCACTCTGGTTTGGCATTCAAAACCACGACCAAACAAAAGCAGCAGCGTGGACCAGGGAGGGTTTTCATGGGTGGGTTTTACTCCTAGACATACATGAACCTTAATGACCAGGAATTTGTGTATGTTGAACTGTTTTCCAAGTGGAGGAATGTTGCTTAGAGAAATGTGTGCTCCATACCATTCCACAGCACATTTGGAACCCGCTTCACTCCCCTCTTCCTTTCAGTCAGTTTTTGGTCTTTTTTTTTTTAATATCTATGGAAAGTATGGATTGGTTTGTTTTGTTTTTTTTTCTCCCTGTTTCTTAAGCTGTAGTGGTCTAGTTGGATGATATTTTCTGCATTGGATAAAGAACAATTTTTATGTCTTGTTTTCCATGTTGTATAGTGTAAATATGAGTTTGTAATACGGTTGTTGCACTTGAACTTTCCTTATCACACAGAATGTTTTGTTATCCAGATCCGAAGATTTTACTGACTTTCTATGCACCAAAGCTTTGACGGTTTACCACCATTAATTACTGTAGCATTTTAAGTCATTAAGTACTACCATAATTAGGATCTCTCATTCTGTATCCTCATATTAACATCATCGCACATTTAAAATCATTCCACGTCTTCAGTGTTAGAGGCCAGAAGCTGTTGTGAACTGATCAGGAGTATTAATACAAAATGCTTAAAGGAAATAAATCAAAAGGCAAATGTGGAAATGGTGGTATTCAGTCCAAAGGTTCAGTGTTTCTATTTTTGTGGAACTTTTAGTCCTGGTAATAACAGTACCTTATGTTTATGCAATTCTGTAAATGACACGTGTACAGTTACACAGACACTGGAAGGATGGAGAATCTCAACTGGAAGGTAGGTTCAAGCCATTGCCAGCCCCTCTTCACCCAGCTTTTACACAGTGTTTCCATAATCTGCCATAAATTGGAACAGACCAATATTGAAATTGGGTGTTTTGCATCACCTTGCCAAAACACAGTAATGTGTATATAGTGACGTAAGCATAGAAAAAATACTCTTATTGTGCACTTCATTTGTGACTGGGAGAAGCCATCTCCAGTAGGTGACTGCCTTTGGGAAATGCAAAATGGATGTATATCTGAATGTTGCATTGTACTGTACAGTATGCATATTGTTTGTGGCTGCATCTACCAAGTGTTTTGTTTTCTATACAAAGGACATCTGTTATGTACAGTTGAAATAAATTTTGCATTTGCTAGACCGTGACTTTAATATTTAATTATTACACAGGGGGAAAGGACAGCATAACTTAACTTCCTCTTCTCCCCTTGCCTCCTTTTTCTCCCTCCCTTCTTCCCGGAGGAATCAAATGCTGAAGTGAAAGAGGTTTTTTGACACGTGTGTGTAATCTTTGTTTAATGTCACTGACAACTGCAGGAAATTCAGTGTAATGTAAAGTACGTATCCTCTTCTTCCTTTAGTTACTACTGAGAGATGTTGCCATCTAGAGAATGTTCTTCTGTTGCCTCCCTCTCCCCTTAATTGATTTTATATTTTGTTTTCCTTTTTTGGATTGGTGTCTTCTTGGTAAAAGCAAGGGCTGAACAATCTAAAACTTATTTCTGCAGATTTTGTTACAAGAAAGAAATTCTACAAATACACTACTGGTTTCTATAACCTCACATATTGCAAGATTTAATATTACAACATATCTCTCTTTAAAACAATTATCTTTAGTGCTTCTACTTAAAAGATGCTCATATTTGAGTGAATTGAAATGAAATGATAATCTACATGCTAAAATATTTCCCTCAGAATGAACAAAATAATTGCCTACTCCTGTTAAAAGGTCATAGCTTTTTTTTTTGGCTATGATTGTGGTAAATCAGATTTTAGCCCCACAGCCCTCTCTGGTTGAAAGTTTTTTGTATTGGTTAGTGAAATACAGGAAGTTTGGTGGGATGGCTCTTTCCAAATGTTGTCTTGGAAATCTCCCACCTCTTCAGATGGTGTATCTGTCTTTCAGACTCTCCATCCTGTTCTGCTGTGACTAACACATATGGAGTTGTGTGTCTTTCAGTCCACTTTAATTATTTCCATTCTACTTGTCAAAACATTTTGCTGTAAACTGCATAGATCTGTCATCTGAATTGTGGGGATTTTTTTCCTATTATCACTATTAGTTAAAAAACCCCAAACTACTTCATGCCAAAACCTTTTTTGTTATTTCTAAGAATTTGCAAATCAAATGTGGATTTTGTACAGAATCCAGGAGCATCATTTTTAGGATTGTTCATATTAGAACCTCAGGAAAGATTCAGTGAGAAAGAGAAGGTTAATTTTACAGGTCTAGTCATCAAATTTAACAGCTTTAATATAACTAAGGCAATGAATCACTGAGTGTTTTAATTTACAAGTAATTCTTACTTGTCTAACATTTACTTCTCAGAAAATATACATACCAGTGGCTAATGGTAGATCTAAATAGCTGTTCAAGCACATCCTTGTTCTTCACTGGCAAGTCAGACTTCTGTCTTAGAAGCTCAAGCAAATAATTCAAAGAGCTTCTTAACCTTATGAAGAGAGCTTAGTAAAGTTGGTGAAAACCAGCATTGTGTTTTTACAAGTACTGTTTCTAATTTATGACCTTGATTGTGCCTTGTTCCTCTCCTAATCACAACAGAGCTATGAAAAAGTGAAGAAAACAGCAATGTTTAAAAGCTGTGCAACAGAATAATTGCTGATGGCCTCAAATTAGGCCATGCCTTTCTTAAAATTAACCACCACCCTCGTGTCTGACTTCCAGAGCTTAAATTAGGACCCTCATAGTAGCTGGAAGAAGGGAAACTCTTTGTAGATTTATTTTTTTTTTTCCTTAACTAGTTCCTTTGGTTGTTTTTATTTTGGTGATTTTGGGATTTTTTGGTTTTGTGTTGGTTGTTTTGTTGGGTTTTTTTGGGGTTTTTTTGGTTTTAAACTAGTTCCTTTGGTTGTTTTGTCTCAAGGTGATTCAGACCCAAAGCTGTTGGAGGTCAATATAAACAGTATCTTTTGGCCTGTTTGACTTGGAACGAGACTGAATAGTCTCCCATAACAAAATTCATCATGAAACTTGGATGCTTATGGTTGAGGAATGGCAGATAGGGCAAACTGAAGTAACTTTTGATTCTTCTGCCCAACTTCATGAAAATGTCAAATATGTCTCAAAGAGGTGCTTTGGATTATCTGAATTACAGGAGCTTCCTAGACCCTCCTTTTAGTAAAACTCTGTGAAATACCCACTGTGCTATAACAAAGCCCTGTCTTTGTGTCCAGATCTGTAGCTTATAAACTTTTGTGGAGAGAAATGGTAGCATAGAGGAGAGACAAGAGCCTGCTGGAGGCACAAGGTGCCATTTAAGGAATACTTTTGAGTGCAAGTAGTGAGTTGATTCTGAGTTTTCTTCTAGACATATATTTGCAAGAAAAAAAATCTTTTAAAAATATCAAAATGGTGCAGAAAAACAGGACAGTGAAGTACCTGAGTTTTCCGACAAGAGCTTGCTGGAGGCACAAGGTGCCATTGAAGGAATACTTTTGAGTGCCAGTAGTGAGGTGACTCTGCTTGAGTTTTCTTCTAGACATATATTTGCCAGAAAAAAATCTTTTAAAAATATCAAAATGGTGCAGAAAAACAGGACAGTGAAGTACCTGAGTTTTCCCTCTAGAATTTGGCACGTGGAGCCTGCTGGTGCTGTGCCCATGCTCATGTGGTGGGGGGGTCCTTTGCTGCAGGGTAGGTGTGCTGAGTGCTTGGACCTTTGGTACTTAGAAACTGCTGGTGGGGTTTAGGGGAAAAAAACAAATCCATAACAAACAAAATCCAAAGCCAACCAAGAGGAAGGAGAAAGTGGTTTAGGGTGGTTTGCCCACAGCAAAACTCAAAGCAAACCAAGATGAAGGAGAAAGTGGTTTAGGGTGGTTTGGTTTTTCCACAGAAGTACAAACAGGAAGAGCAGGAAGGGTTCTGGGACACAAATAAGCTGCTTGACCAACAGTACCTGAGTGCTGAAGGGAAGAGTGAAGCTGCTGATGCCCTGAGTTCCCCAGCAGCTCAGGGTTTGGGGCACAGGAAGGGCAGTGGGCACAGCAAGTTGTGCCCACGTGTGCTTTGTGGTCTCCTCTGTGCAGCACTGGTGGAGGTTTTGGGTTGGGTGACACTGCATTGTGTCCCAGCAGCACTCACTGTGCTGGGCATGCAGCAGGGAATGCTGGTGCAGATGTGTTTTCCATGCCTCTGTGTGGAGAGCTGCACAGCCAGGGTGGTTTTTTTTGTTTAAAGCTGTCTGCCCCATGCTGTTTGTGCTTTGCAAGGACCCACGTTACCCTGACCAGGCAAAGACAACTGGGTGCAGCTAAAATGCAACGTGCTGCTCCCTTTGGTTGAAGGGAGAAACACGTGGCACTTCTCTCCCTTTGGTCACCATCTCCCTTGGCATGTGCTGGGCTGAGGTGCTCCACATTTGGGTGGGGAAACCCAAAATGTAGTGGTCTGGTAGCAGCTACTGCCAACTAACTCCTAAAATAACATTTAGCTCTGTGTTCTGTGTTACCTCCTGGGCTAATAGAGCACTAACCCAGTAAATAAATAAATTTAAGGCAACTTTTTACAGTTGGAGGCTGACAGCACAGCCAGGGAGGTGCCCTTGAGCTCCACACAGGGTTTGGATGTGCCTGTTTTATAGGCTGTTCATTCCCTGGAGGAGAAGTGGCAGTGGAAGGGTGTTAACCCTTAAAAGATTTCTTCCCTCCATCAGATGAAGAACTTGCAGCTTTCAAGGACGAGATTCTGTTCTCAAATTTGCAGTTATATTTATTCCCTAAGATTTGGACCATCACACAGTGATTGATTAGATCTTTCCTGGCAGCTTAAGGAAAGTGTTTCCTCTGTAAAAGGACATTTGTTGCTGTTTGCTGTAACAGTTTAAATAGCTTAACACGTGCTGCTAAATTACAAAGCTCAATGTTAAAACTGAATTTTGGTTAAAATATGGAAGAACTTCAAGGCCCTCTCTGCTGTGTTTGAATTCTGAACAAATGCTCAGAGAGCAATTTATTTACAGACCTTCTTTAAAAAAATAAGCTTGTCATTTGTTGCAGGCCAATGAAATGCTGTTCCTAGAATACATACTTTATGTATGAGTGGATGCACATCTCTGAGCTGTAGATTTATCTATTCAGAGCTACTTCTGAAGAATCTAGATGTATTATCTCAATGTTATAAATTGTAATGGTTGTGGGAGGTGTTTGGGAGATGTTGAAATGTTTTGAGGTTTTATTGTCAAACCATTTAAGGGCTTTTAAAAACATTTGTTAGATATAAAGTATATATTTAATTTTATCTTTATAGGACTAAAAGACTGTAAATGGATGAATATGTGTGCACAGACACACACAATTGTGTCATTCATGGTGTTTTAAGGGAAAGGGCTTTTAACTTTTTCATTCTATTGTTCTATCATTTGATGCCACTGATCTGCTCCTTACTGTTAGAATAATGAGTTTATATTGGAAGTATTTCTTGGATTTGTTATCAGAATCTGTCCTTGAGGCTTAAATTGCTTCAACACCTCTATTTTTGAGTCAGAAATGGGGAATTTGTGTAGCTTTTAGTGGTAGTTGAGCAGTGCACTGTTCCCTCAGCATCCCTGTCAATGACACAGGAGTTATGCCACCAGCAGGACAGGAATATCAGACTTTTTTTTGTTGGAGTTGTAAAACTGTTGTTTCACCTGTAAAAAATGTCAGTAATGTGTGTGTGGAGGGCAGGGGGGAATGGAAAGTGATACACCTTGGTAACACAGGGGCATCCCCCAGTGAATGAAATAATGGTCTGAAAAATGCACCATTTGTGAGTGGCTCATTTGGCAATTTATTTTTACAACAGGTTCCCGGAAAGAATCAGCTCCCCAAGTCCTGCTCCCAGAAGAAGAAAAAATTATTGTAGAAGAAACTAAAAGTAATGGTCAGACTGTTATAGAAGAGAAGTAAGAACATTTAATCAACTCTTCCACCTCCCATCTCCCATCCCAGCAGTGTGTGTGTGGGGTATTTATAGTAGGGAATAGGTGTATCCTGTTCCAGAAGCTGCTCACACATCCTTGCCTTATTATAAATCAGGATAAGAGACAATATCTTCTAATTTAAGTTTGAAATTAGCTGTGAGCTCTTGGGTGGGTTGGGTTGGTTTTAAATGCATTGAACTGTGTTGTCTGATAGAAGATTTAGATGTGTATTTCTGAAAACTGTTGTAACACATCTTTTTTTTCATTTTAGAAGCCTCGTTGACACAGTATATGCATTAAAGGATGAAGTCCAGGAGTTAAGACAGGTTGGTAGCTTTATACATTTATAGCAACATGGAGAATGGAAAGATGGAAGGATTATTATAAAAATATAGCTTGTAAGTGGATTCACTTTGGCAGGAATGAACTTGAATTTTGGACTATACTTTTGAAAGTAAAACCTACCAATTGTGACAAAACCCATCCTCTTTTCATGGTTGTCATTGCTCCTGGGAGCATCTTGGAGAAAATGTTAAGGCTCCTCTCTGAGGTGACTTACTAAGCTCTGTTTCATTTATTTTTGGGTGTTAGAACTTGTGACAGCAAATTCAGCTGTGCTGTATCACCAGCAAAATGAGCTTATAGAGACTGGGAAATAGTATTTGCTCTGGAATGTATAATTTTAGTAGGATAAATTTCTATATCTATTTATGCCTCTATTAATGATCTTTAACCCAGACAGCTCTTGAAACTTCTCATCTCCAGAGACAAGAGTCCTTTGGAAGGTTTTTTTTGAGGGCTTCAGCTTAGCTTGGGGTGCTGCTTGGTCCCATGGGGCAGTTGTGGAAGAACTCACCTGAGTTGCTATTATGGAAGCTGCAGCTGATTTTTAAGCTTGTTCTTTATGCCTTTATTAATGATCTTTCAGTAACCCAGACAGCTCTTACAGATCAGTTCTTGAAACTTCTCATCTCCAGAGACAAGAGTCCTTTGGAAGGTTTTTTTTGAGGGCTTCAGCTCAGCTTGGGGTGCTGCTTGGTCCCATGGGGCAGTTGTGGAAGAACTCACCTGAGTTGCTAGTATGGAAGCTGCAGCTGATTTTTAAGCTTGTTCAAAGTATCCAAAATGAGGGATTTAAAACCACCTTTTTCTTGTCAGGTCACAGCCTCTTCAAACCATGTTAATGTTGCTGGATGTAGTCAGTGCTTAATGCAGAGACAAAGAAGCACTGAATTATCCTTACCCTCCCCTCTGTTCATTTGCTGCCTGACCTGAACAGTTATTTATGACTCAGGAAGCTGGATAAAATCTCCTGTGTTAATGTAAAATGGATTTGTATTGAATTTACTCTAGGTTTTGGTCTATAAATGTGAATCCAAATTCTTTGCCCATCTGTGAGCCTGCCCAGTGTTTCCCACTTGGTGTCTTCAATACTGAAATTCTGCTGTTTTCAACATATAAAATGGGTGTTCCAGGTTCCATGCAAATTTGACAGCCTTAAAAAATCAAATTCACATCACAAGCAGCAATAACAACTCACTGATATTCCTGTGGCCTGACTGCTCTGGTTTAAAATTTAGCCACAAACCACTTTACCAGAGAGCATAATGCTTTTTAATCTACTCCATTCAACCATTTACTTTCCTAATGAAGCAGGTTAATTTGCATTAAGTTTTCAGAAGCTTCTCTGAGGTTGGGAAACTGGTTGTAATCACAGGAGGCTCTTCAGGGGGGGTATTTATTCTATTTATTGCTCCATTTCCCCTCTCCATTAACAACAAATAGATTCTGCTCGTCCTTGATGGAGTTTGAGCAGAAGAATTCAAGATTATTGGTCATCTGTTACTAGCACTTGTGTTGTAAACACCCCTAAATATATACAGAAAACAGCTTTTGTTGCATTGTGTGAATAATTTGTGACATTTTAATAGAAGGCTTTGCTTTTGAAGAGCTGATAGGAGCCTCACTGAGAAGAGCCTTCAGAATTTGTGATAATGTGGATGCAGCCAGGAAAGATCTTTAAAAGCAAAACAAAACAAAAACAGACCAAAAAAACCCCCCCAGCAAACCAGTAATATTTCTGTCTCTGTTCAACAGGATAACAAAAAGATGAAGAAATCATTAGAAGAAGAACAAAGAGCTCGCAAGGACTTGGAGAAGCTCGTTAGAAAAGTTCTAAAGAACATGAATGATCCATCCTGGGATGAAACCAACTTATAACTCCTTTTTTTCTTCTTTTTTTTTTTTCCCCTTTTTCTTTCTATTGAAAGACCAGTTGTAAAACTGAGCTGGGAAGCCTTCTGACATTAGTCAGTGTTGCATCAAGAGCACTACAAAAGAGGATGTAACTGGATCTGGTGATCTCTTGCTCTGAACATCCAGAAACAGTCAAGCCATTTACTGAATCAATCTCTACTTTTAAAGTGTGTGGAGACTGTGGATCCTGAACTCTACTAAACTTAATTTGTTTGCATCTAAATTACCTCATTTTGCAGAAAAGTGCAGCACCTGACTAAAAGTCCATGTTTTTCAGTGGCTTTTTAATTAAATATATATTTTTCTTGTAAATATCTGTAATTTTGAATGCATATGTGGTTGATGTATCAGGGCTGGTATGTTGTTTTTTTTTCTCCTCTTGTTGTTACAATGGTCACAAGTGTTAGAAATGATGGCAGTACTGTCTTACCTAAGAAATGTCAGAGTTTTTTTGTGGATAATTCCAGTTTTGTTCCAGATGACCCACTCATCACACATGCAAATTCAAAAAAAAAAACCTCTTTTTCCCCATTGACCACTATTTAAATCCTTCACTCTTATTTATGTCCGTGACATAAATAAACATTTTTAAACAGTTTACAACTCTTTAAGAGCAGTATTAAAATACAGAAAGTTGTTTTATTGACAGTAGAAACACTTTTTAACAAAACTAACAGCCAGGCTTTATGTTCACATACACTTGTTTGGCAGAATAACTCATTGTGCTTTGGCCACCAAAAGACTGATGTACTTGCCTGCTTTTTATGACTGTGATTTTTAGGGTGTTTATGTACCACATTTTCTATTCCTGTGCTTAAACATGCAGCTGGTTGCTAATTTAACAGATCCTACAGTTTGTTAAAGCAAAAACCAATCTCCTCCAGAATTTTGTGAATAAATCATCACTATTTATATTTCAGGGTCACAATGATGAAAGTTTAGCTGACCTTTGTGCAGAAGACACGTGGGCTAGACCCAGCTTCATTCAGAGCTTGGTTTTTATACCACTAAGTGAGATTTTGTTTGGAATCCTCAGGCTGGCAGCAGTCATTCCTTCCCCACCCCATTTTCTCAGCGTGATGCTGGGTTTTGTCTTAGTAGGATTTAAATGGAAACAAATCTGGAAGTAAGATTCTTTTTAAATCATACTGTAATTCATAATGTGCACTGCTGACAGATTGGGAAATTGTAAATGGACATTTATTCCCTAGTCTGATAGGGGCAATTATTGCAATCTTTTTCTTGTATTTAAAATAGGAGATGCTACATCACTGCAAATGGTGAGCTTCAGCTGGAGCACTTAAAACACTAATCCCATGAAAGCTCATTGTAGGTGTTTCAGTGATTTCAGCAAACTTTCAACTCCAGACAGTGCAATTTTCTGAGGTGTTTTTTTTTCTGCAGCTGACAGTCAGAAGTGCAGGTCTAGCACAGACCTGAGTCACACCTTTTGTCATCCTGATTTTTCTAGTGCCCTTGAACTTGTCAGACCTGAGCAAATGTTTATAGGAACATGAGTTGGTTTTTTTTTTCATGAGTCAGAGACAGGATGATGAAGGTCGTAAAAATTATCATGCACATTTTGAATCCAATGAAAAATCTGTTTTTATAGCTCTCCATTTCCCTCAGCCAAGAACAGCTTTTTTTTTTTTAAATAGGAAAGAATGTCAGTGATTACATACTTGAGAAACAGTTCTGTGGCAATGGATGCTGAAGACTCTGAATAGACAATTAGTTGTCTGATTTAAAAAGCTTGAGTATATTTGTAGGTATTTTAATCTGTTCCTACAATTTAAAAACTTCTTCCTTTAATTTTAAAGGAGAATGGGGTAAGGAAAGTAAAAATGTCCACAATAACAATTACATATATTCACAGAACTTTAAATTTATGATACCCAAATGTTTTCCTTTTGTGGCCTAACATATATCTAAATCTTCACACTTAGAAAATACTTCTGCTAAAAGCTAAGTGATGCTAAACCCTGCAAATTCATGGCATCTTGGCTGAATTTAGATTTGGGAATGCCCCATCTGATGAGAATTTTGCTAACATTTTTACTTTCTGACCTCCAGGCTGTTTTCAGACAGTTAATTGTCAGTGGAGCACACGTGAAAGAACATTCCAGAGGAAGAAGTGTGAAAGGAAAACATGAATCTTAGCAGTATTGAGCAGATTTTAACTCAGGAACAACTTCCCTCATAACAATTTATTTTATATTGTAAAGAGTGGCATTGCTGTGTAAATTTGCTGACTCTTAGTACCTGTGATTCATGTGATTTCTGACATCACACCTATACTGACATCTAATGAACATGCCTTAAACGCTGGGATTAAGCAGTTGTTAAATACCACCAGGACTTAGGGACTGATTTTATTCAAGGTGGACTGGGGTTACTAATTTTTACAAAAAAAACCTGCAAAATAAACACAACCCCCCCCACCACCTTAGCTTGTAGGGAGCTGTTGTCTCTAGTGCAGAGAGCGAGCCTCAGACTTTTGGGAACCAAGGAGCATCTGAACTCTTTTTCTTTGACAATTTGTTATACTGTATATAGACTGTAAATTTCCCCAGGGACCTTCTGAATGGTTGGAAACTTTGTATAAGCATGGATAAACGGGGCACTGTTTATTTAACCTCTTCAAGGGTTATTTCTTTGCTCTCATCATTTCGGGATGAGGAGACGAAGCCATTTCTTATCCTCTAGATGTGAAGCACTTTCAAGTTCTGAACTGTCCAAAATGTAGCATAACATTTCTCTGTACTTACTGGTGTGTGTGTGTGTGTGTCTGTCTGTCTCACCACGTTCAGGACAGCTGAAAGATGGAGCAGCTGACTGCCTCTGCACAAACCTCCTGGGTGGAAACCACGTGGAGAACTCGAGTTTAGTTGAGATGTCCCAGTAATACCCTGGTATCGACTACTAAAGTGTTCATGCTACATCATTGTAATTAAACCATGATTTTCCCCCTCAGCCTATGAGCGTTACATTTTGTCTAATAGGGGGGGCTGTGAGGTTGAGAAGGAAAATGGATTTATTTTTCACTTCCCTATAAATTGCCTCTGCTATTTGGTCGTAGATGGGTTATCCTGAAAGGGCTTTTTCATGGGATGTTTTAATAGCAAATGGGTGTCTGGAAAACAAAACAAGGGTTGTTTAGAGGGGCAGGAATGAGGATCTGGACTGTCTTGTGCTGAGGAATCTTCACTTTCTTTACACAACCCTCTTGGGTCAGGTCAGTAAGAGATGGAGGAGATCAAAGAGAGAAGGTAATGAAAGGGAACAAAGCAACACCAGGAAATCAAATGGCTGCATAATGACAGTAAAATACTTGTCTACATGCATGATTTAGCTGGATAAACCTGAATTCTGTGGTCAGTGTCTATCACAGGGGTGTTATTTGCTTGGTGCTACCTAAAATGGGGGGGTGGGATGATTTCTTTTAATGGTAGGAACATCCTCTCTGATGCTTTTTGCAGGATGATGGGGTGGGTGGAGGGAAGTGTAGGGAGTCACTTGCTGGGAAAGATGGTTTCAGTCTTTGGACGAGGCATTTGAAGGGGTTAATAAGTGAGCTCAGGTGAGTGAAGTGATTTATCTCTTCCAGCTTAATTTAGCTGGAGTTATACTTGAGCAGAGGAGTCTGAGTGTAGCATCTTATAGCTTGTCAGGAGAAATCTTGTGTTTTTCAGCTTTCCTCTTGCTTCTTCATTGTGTAGACAGGTATTTCCCATCATCTGAAATCCTCATTGTCACCTTAATTGTTCTGGGGACCTTATTGTGGGGTGTTTTTTATTGACAGTGGCTGGCTGCCATACCCCCATGCAGCTACTCTCCTCTTCCTCATCAGGAGCTGGAGGAAGGAAAGAAGATGGAAAAGCTTAAAGGTTGAGATAAAAGACAATTTCTTGCCATTTAAAAGCAGAGTTGGAAGGTGAGGAACACCTTAAATTAATGAAAGCCTCAGGAAGATAGTCTAGTTCCAACTCTAGACTCCTCTGCACCTCCAAGGTGGTGTTTGTGAGGGAAACTCAATCACCTTAAATTAATGAAAGCCTCAGGAGGATAGTCTAGTTCCAACTCTAGGCTCCTCTGCACCTCCAAGGTGGTGTTTGATTCACATGAATTAAAGAGATCAAGTGCAGGGCACACAAGGTCCATCCCTTTTCCAGCTGATGGAGTGTGCCTTGCAGAGCAAATTCACCTCAAAGTTCATCTCAGCATTGCCCTGAAGTGCAAACTCTGCATTTCTGGGACCCTTCAGCATCAGCACTGTGGGACTCGTGGCATGCACACAGATGGACCCACGAGGTGCAGCAGCAATCTCACTAGGTGAGATTCATCTCCCTGGGTGAGATTCTCCAAATAATTTGGGGTTTTTTGCTTAGGTTTTGTTAAGGGCAGCCTGTGGTAGGTCTGTGTTTGCTGTAGGCCTGGCTGAGCAGCACAGAAATCACCTGCTTTGATAGTGTTTTTCCAGCAGGGGACTGTGTTAGCTTCTGCTTCATCAGAAATCACTCACACTGTCCCTGAACTTGTTAATATTTGTGCTTCCCTGTGCTCGTTTAACCGACTGGAGTTAGCTTTTGGGATAGTTTGGAGCTGCTTTTCAAGCTCCAGGAAATAGAGTCTATTATTAACCTTTTGTCCCATGGAGCCAAAGTAGATGGTTACAGCTGCAAGTGTCCCTGCAGCACTGGAACTACCCCCTGTGGGGGATTTGAAGGGGAGTTTTAGCTCTTCCCTGTGGAATTTGTGAGTTCTCATCATGTCTGTGTGCTCAGCATCACCAGGGCTCTGCCAGCTCCAGGCTGTGTGGAGGGGACACAGGATCAGGGTTAGTGTGAGGCAAAGCAGCCAGGAATTGGGCTGTGCTCACCAGCCCCTTTCCTCTCAGCCCTTTGGGCTTGAAGCATTTGAAAATGCAGGCTCAGGAACATGATTCTGCCCTGCCCACCAGCTTCAGGACTTCCCCCTCAGCCTTCAGACCTGGGTCCATGGATGTGCTGGATGTCTGCCTGACCACCTGCACTCTGCTGTGGTTGTGGAGTGACAGAGCATCTCCTCCAGGCTGTCCAGAGCACTGGGACCCTCCCAAATCCTGAACAGAGAGCAGCCCGAGATGCTTTCCCAGTCCCTGCCTTTGCCCAAGACAGATTTCTGTCAGAGGATCTTTTCTCCACAGAGTCACATTATTCTCCCTTTGTATCCTTTAGGAAATTTAGTCCAGTATGGTCCCTAGACACCAACATTACTCAGGGTTTGGTATCTGACAAACTCTTGCCACGTTGTGATCAGTTATCACTTGTGACAGAGTGGTTAGGATGTCACAGAACCATTTAAGATCAAGTCCAACAGCTAACACTGCCAAGTCCCACCACTAACCCATGTCCCTCACTGCCCCATCTCCACATCTTCTGAACCCCTCCAGGGATGGTGACTCCACCACTGCCCTGGGCAGCCTGGGCCAATTTGTGACAACCCTGTGGCTTAAGAAGTTTTTTGTGATGTCCAGTCTCCTCCTCCCTTGGAGGGGAGTAGCCTGTAGAGACCCTGGAGACAGAAGATG